CCCAAAAAAAAATCACCATCTCTCAGTTGTTGATTAAGCATTAAGTATAGATTAGGCTCTAAATGTTGGTTGTTAAGGTTATTAGGTTGTTTTTTATGGTAGCGCGTTTCAACTCGCACATAAAACTTAACCTTTGTACAACAGCCAAGAACCAAAATTTCACCAAATGAGTTAGCCTAATAAGGGAAAATTTACACGGCCTCGACAAAGAGTAAGCGCGGTATGAACACCTTGGAAACCTAGATATTGCTTCGAGTACCTGGGATTTCGAGCATAGGCTGAAGACATAGATGCGTGTAAATGTTGAGCGCTTCCCATCTGAATGAAAAAAGTTGGAGATAAAAGTAAGAGAGAATTCTTGATTTAGGATTTAAAAAAACTTATTATATTCAATAGGCCGACCTGCTTAGTTCCATGGACCTGATAAAAGAGCTGGTTCCCATTTGAAGCTTGATGCATGGTTTGCGGACCACCAAAATGCTTTATCGGAGTAGGCACGAGAGGAGACTGTTGTGAACCTAGTGACTTTTGTTGCTGCAAATGGATAGAAGTATGATCATCAGTGCGGGATTACATGAATATGATCGCTAAAGAGAAATCATGCAGAAAAAAGGGTAAAGCGCTAAAAAGAAAACACATTCAACCATATTATCTGCAAATTTTGACAGACTTGCACCATCTTATGAAATCAATCAGTGGAGTGAGCTACCCTTATTCAAGGGAAGTCAATTGATACCCCTTCGCCGAAAAATTACAATATGTAAATAGGTTTATTTTTTATTATTATTGTATATATACTGTATGCTGATTGGTGAATCCCCTTGACTTCTTCGTGTGTTTACTTCTTTATATTCTGACCAGCTTTAGTGAAAATACTGGCTGAAATCAACACTAGAGAATCAATGTTTACCACCTCTTAAGTGGACTTTACTAAAGCTACTTACTAATTATGATTGTTACAACTGACAGATTTTGCATTTCTAACTGAAAATGTTAAAGGAAGCACCTCGCCGAAGAGATCCACCATATCATTCTTCACATTTTTCAAGGGGATTTCTGAGACTGAGACAGGTTGGGTATTCCATCGAAAATCTTTAATCAGTTCCTCAATTCCAGCATCAAATTTGCTCTTGTTTTCTATAGCAGCAGAACTGGCGTTCTGCTCGATTACTTCTTTTGCTTCCGCCGCTGCAAATTTTGGAGACAAAGTCAGTGGTGAAAGATTCAGACATCTACCATCAACAATTCTAGTCAAGCTATTAAATAGAAATAAATTCCGACGAATTAGCAACAGAGCATAGTTACTTCCACTTTACTCCACATAAATATTGTAGATAGAGGAACATACGCTGGATAGCACAGTTGGTGCTAGCTGTTGATACAGTTGGGGAGAAACTTGCTTCTGGCTTTGCTTTTGCGACTTGAGAGATTGACGGTACTACATTCTGAAGAACCTTTTGCTGGGGATCAGGAGAAACCTGTTAACCATATCCAAACATCAAATTATGAAGAGAAAGTAAAAAACTTTTAGATATTCAGACAGCCAGGTGTTACATTAGCTATTTGCTTCGCTTCTTCCACAACGGCTACTGGTTTTGCATTCTGAACAACTTTTGGCTTAGGATCAGCGGCAATCTGTTCAGAACATTGAACAACAAATATTTTTATCAACTCATACAAGATATAAGGACTCCAAAAAGATTCTAAAAATCCATCTAAATGTGCAGTTAGAGAGTAAAAAAAAGCATCACATCCAACTTTATGGGTTTGTTGCAAATCCTCTAAAGGGTCTTCATACCCGAACAATCTTTATCGACAATATTAACATTGCAAAATTTAATTCTTATTTTAGCTAGTGAAGTTCTATATCACAACTTTAGATATTCAGACAGCCAGGGGTTACATTAGTTTTTCTCTTTGCTTCTTCCGCAGCGGCTACCAGTTTTGCATTCTGAACAAAAACTTCTGGCTTAGGATCAGGGGCAATCTGTTCAGAACATTGAACAACAAAATTTATATCTACTGATACAATATATAAGGAATCTAAAAAGATTCTAGAAGATCATCTAAATGTGCAGATAAACGACTCAGAAACACAGAAAAAAACATCACATCCAACTTAAAGGATTTAATGCAAATCCTTTAAAGGGCCTTCATACCCAAACAATCTCTCCTAAATTGACAATATTAACCTTGCAATATTTAACTCTTATTTTAACTAGTAAAAGTTCCATATCATAATTATTCATAAGCACCAACATAATTTACTTCTTGAAATTATATCTTGTAGCCAACCTGTATTTCATCAATGCAGTAGCTACAAAATGAAGGAAGCAGTGGATACGACCTGTAACATGCACTGGAATAAAATGCATCTAAATACTTCGAGCGAATATAGACCAATCAAACAAATCAACAGAAATGTTGTATTTACCTGCTTCGGTAATTCAGGCGGTGCAAGATTGACTCTCTTCCTCATATCAAGCACTTGATTATGTTCTCCTCTCGCACGAGGAGATGCTTTCACATTCCCGTTTCGTGGTATCCATCTTTTCTCCACATATCTAGTAGATTTGCAGCGGTTAATAAAGTTGATCTTGAAGTGGAATATTTCCAAATTCAGGTGAAGAAACTTATGACTTGATAACAATAATAGTAAGAAAATTGCGGAACAGTCAACTATGATATCATACTTTGATCGGATAAAATTTTCAATACCAACTCTGCCGGATTTGGGTGGCAGCTCGGCTTCCCAGTAGCTATTTGATATCTGATTTCCCATTGCTAAATGAAGGAAGAAATCAAGTTATTGAAGGAGAATAAAAGACTGCTGATAATAATTAAGAGCCAGAGGAAAACATGGTTTGCTCACTTTGAATAAATGCAACTTGCTCCGGAAGCCAGGTGTCCAATGTGGCAGATCGTACCTGCATCGCGGTAATGCATAAGTTCCACCGGAAGGTTATGAGAAAACCTATGTTGCACGGACTCTCCAAAATGTTGCGGCACCAGTGTTGGATCCTCCAACAATGTACTACTTTTGGAGGATCCGACACATATACGACAATATTTTCGAAGAATCCGAGCAACATAGGAGAAAACTTCTAGCATATTAAGTATCCAAAATCAACAAATGAATTGGACGTCATTATGCTAATGAACAGACATGGAGAAGTTAAATGTAGTTGTTTGCGAAGATGATCAGTAGTAATGAGATAGCACCATTAATCACCATTCTAACCTATGTTGTTCAGATTCTCCAAATATGTTGTTGCATCCGTATCGAATCCTCCAAAAATGTACTATTTTTGGAGGATTCGACACACAGCCAACGATATTTTTGTAGAGTCTGAGCAACACAGATTCTAACACGTAGAAGTGACAAGATGAAAGCAAGTTGGAGCAGACAATATGTAAAAGTTAAAGACGGAAAAATGAAGAACTAGAACTGTGAAACCAAACCTTTGATATATGTACTCCAAGACTCCTGTGAACACCCGAACAGTGTAAGCATATGAAGATTCCCAAGTTCACACTAGCCCATCTTGGACCTCTACATGAAATAAATAGTCAATATAATGGAGAGCAACATAAACGGTGTTTAACTGAGTTATTACTTTTTGATCTTTCAATTTCTAAATTTTTTTAATGAACAAAGGAAGCACATTTTCCTTCACTTTCATTTCTAGTCCACATTAAACTATAGATAGTGATGCTCATTGACATACCTGCTTTTGCAGTCGGCACATTCTCGATTCTCTGGTAATTTGAGTAGTCCCTCAAGTATCTGCAACAAGGATACAAGAAAAGAAGAATCATTCTATAAGCTTAATGGAAAAAATATTTAGAAACTGCTAGCTTCAGAAAGGGGGAGAATGAACTACTTCAAACTGAATATATGTTGCATGTTTTCTCTGCAATACAACATCAATAATAACTACTATGCCTCGATTCCCAACTTTCTAGGGTCAGCTTGATCATGTTTCCTCTTTGATACCTTGTGGAAAATCTACTTTCAAAGTAACAGTTCAATTCTCAAAGAAGCAAGTGACACCATACAAATAACAGTGCAACTTTTCTTGTTTCTTGCGACTTCTATTCACATTGTGATTAAATTTTTAAGTGAATTAGACAGATTACTTACTGATAATTCAAATAAAAAGGTTCATCCAGAGTAATTCTATGACGACCAACCTTTTCTTGTTAACGACTCAGTAAACAAATCTCATAGTTCACGTAGGACGAAAAAATGATCACTAAAGAAATGGAAGGCAGAAAAGAGACGACAATCCGAAAATGATTGAACCTCCATTTGCACCTAACACTGCTATGGTTAAACAAGTAAAGAAAATCTCCAATGACCTTCTCAACATATACAGTTGCTAAGTTGCTCGGACTCTTCATTTTTGGTACCGTACCCGAGTCTGAGCAACTTAGTACAGTTGTGTACAGCCACAACATACCAATTTGATACTGTAACATTTATTGGTGAGAGCACCAAACTCGACATGAATCACAAGTCAGAAGTAGGAGCTAATTAACATTAAATAGTTTGAATTATCTCATTAAATCTCCAAGAACTTATATAGTTAGTGATTTTTTTTTTAATTTCATTGCTAAAGCCTAAAATGAAAAAGAACCCAAAATTCTAAAATTTATATTTTTGGTTTGGACAGAGAAGTTAGTCTATCATGTCTAACCAACCTCAGACATATCAAATGAATAAGATCTGTATTAATCAATATCAGTTGAAATACAGGTTGGACACATACGTATGGCAGTCTGTCAATGAAAAGTCAAATAGTAATAGTTCTCTATTTTTGCACACAAGCAAGTGAATATTCTCCAAACAAAATAAGTAGTAAATAAGAATAATTATGAACAAACAGTCAACACCCAACAAAGCTCACATTTTTTTTTTCTTTTTTTTTAAATGAGAATTTCATTCAGAAGCTGTTTAATTGAAACCCCATCAAAATTTAAGCAAGAAAGTGAATTTGGTAATACCATACACCCGAAAGTCCTTTTTTTTTTGTTTGAACTTACATAATCCAAGAATCACCATCAACCCCAGAAACAAAAAATACCAAGAACAATGATGTGTTATAAGCTAGTTCTATCAAATTAAGAATTAAATTTAGAAGAAGGAAGAAGAAGAAAGAAGAATAATTAACCCAAATAGTCGTCCACCTAATCTTTTAAACTAAAAATAGCCGGTAAATGTATAATATATATGTATTATTCATGTATAATGTATGTATCAATATATAATTTATGTATACCGGCTAGAAAAAGTAAACAGTAAATCTGACCGACTATTTGTGTAACAATCTCATTAACTAAGAAAAACTTGTTTATGAAGAAAAATAACTTTGGAAACTTGTGATCTTAAACGCGCCTAACGATTTTTATGGCTAGGTACATCTTTTCTTTTTTCAGAATTTCATAGAAAAGTTGTTTAATTGAAACCCCATCAAAAATTAAGCGAGATAATGTCTTTTGTACATAATTCAAGAATCAAACAACCCCAGAAACAAAAAACACCAAGAACAATACTGAGTCATGAACATACTTATATGCTCTATTAAACTATGGATTATAATTTACTTGACAAATCTAAATTTGGGTTAATTCTGTCCAAAAATACTGTTACAGCATAAAACAAAACCAAATTTAAAGGGAATTAAGGAAGCTAAAGAAAGTACCTTCATATGCTTAGCATTAAGCTCCTTTGAAACTCTTGCTTTTTCATTCATAGTGGAATTCCAAAAAAGCTATAACTAAAACTCTCTTTATTTTATTTATTTCTAGTATTGGAGATATATATATATCAACTGGTAGGAGAGAATCTATGCCAAACTGGACGTGAAGATGAAAGAGAGAAAGGAGAAAGTAGAGAAGAAGAAAATTTGAAAGTAGAGTTGTTTCTTTTTTTATGAATAATAATATATAGGAGAAGAAAATTTTATTTATTTCGGCTTTGTTTGGATTGTTGCGTGTATTCCCGCGTGGAAGAGGCCGTCATTGGTAGTTATTCTTAGTTGGAATTTCCATGCATAAGCTAACACTTTTTCTATTTTTCTTAGTGGAGGTGGGACCAGAAAAAGTGACGTCTTTTCATTATAAGATTTATTTTTAAGACAGAAACTATTAAGTGAAATTAATACTTCTCTAAAATAATAATGTCTGACATACGCATAAACACATATTTTTCCCAATATAAGAAGAAAACTAATTTGTGTAATTTTAAAAGGAAGTAACTGTTAGGAAAATGGAGATACAACAATTGTCTAATTTCAAAAGGAAATATTAACTATTAGGAAACTTGAGATAGAATAATTAAATCTAGAAAGACTTGTTACATTATGGAAGGAGTGGACCGACGAGTATGGTTCGAGTAAAACGGACAGACTTCTAGGCTGGCAAGTTTCTAAAGAAGGAGTGTGCATGTCACCTTATGCAAATCCCACATTGAAATGGGAGATCAAAGTGAAGAGCTTTATAAGGCATAACACAAGTTCACATGGTACTCGAACTTTTCAAGCTCGTTGTGGCATAGTCCGAAAGATAAATTTATACGGGCCTAGGTCCAAAGCGGACAATATGTGCCATGAGCTTGGGTCGTGATAAATATGGTATCAGAGCCTGAAAGCCCATGGCGGAGGGTGGGTCGAGTAGGATTGACATGCTTGTAGGCTGACAAGCTTCTGAAGAATGGGTGCACATGTCACCTTAAGCAAATCTCGCATAGGAATATGAGAGAGTTTTGTAAGGTACAACATAATTTGTATAGTACGCGTACTTTTGGGGCTCAATGTGGCATAATCCGAAAGACAAATCTGTACAGGCCTAAGTTCAAAGCAAACAATATATGCCATGAGTTTGGATTGTGACAGTTATGTGATTCTTTGTTTCTTGTCAATGCATTTAAGCGTTTGGACATAAGAATTGTAAAATTCCAAAATAGGGGAAAAAAATTTTCAAGTGAAAATGATATTTGAAATATAGAGTTATGTTTGGACATGAATATAATTTTGGGTTGTTTTTGAAGTTTTGTGAGTGATTTGAGTGAAAATTTTGAAAAATAGTTTTTTGGAGTTTTTTAAATTTTCGAAAATTTTTAAAATGCATCTTCAAGTGAAAATTAAAAATTTTATGAACAAACGCTGATTTCGAAAAAAGTGAAACTTTTTTGAAAAAAATGAAAAAATTTGCAATTTAAGTGAACTTTGCAATTTAAGTTATCGCGATCGAGTTCCTTGTACAATGGTAAATGGTTTTGCATTTTTTTTTAATTCATTTATAAGAGAATTATACAATGGTTGATGCAAGCTGTACAACAACTATTTACACTAAAGAATGAGCCAATCCTAAATATGATAGGAACCAGTGATGTATCAACATGATAGTAAATGATTATTACATTTATTATGGAATTATTATGTGATGAATAATAATACGTAAACTATTATGTAGATATTGTAAAATCAAAGTCAATAATTAACTTTATTGTAGTAATATTAATACATGTATTCCACATTCTAATACAATAATTCTCGCATCACATTCATGATCTAAGACAAGTATTTTTCTTTTTTATTTTCTTCTCAAAATATGCTTAAAACAGCTAAAAATAGATCTTATGGAAAATAATACAATTGTATTATGACTATTATGGGAAGAACAGAAAAACAAAACGTCTTGTAATGTAAAAGAAGGTTCCAGCAAAGGGATTAGGTTGATTTCTTAGTTTATGCTCCATAATTAATAGTGTCAACAAATGCGTGATGACAAAATAATAATTGAAATCTAAATCATGTTTCATTTGATTAGAGAGTATTCACCGATTATTAAGAAGGAACAAAGAGAAAAAATATAAAACGCACCTAATCATACTTTTTGAATTAAGAAATGGTGCCTAGACCATATGCCTAATGTGACTCTTTAATACGTAAAATCATTGGATTTCTTTTCTTAATTATTAGATTTTGATGTTTCAACATCCCAATAAATCTATTTCTTATCTTTTATTAGTTTATTATTTTAAAAAAAGAATTAAAAATTCTTAATTATTAGTTAGTAAACACTTTCTCTATTTTAAAAAAAAAAAAAATTATAAATCCCTGTGTTTATAGATATTTTTCTTTCTTTTTCTCTTGTGGCCAAGTCTGCAGATACCCCAGCTTTCCTTTAAAGATAATTATTTTTTAATAGTATTAGATATTCTTCTTTTTTTTCTTCTCGTAGTTGCCCATGCCCTTGAAGATAATTAATTATATTCTAATATCGTTACAATAATAGACATTAATGCCAAAAAATTCTATTGACTCAAACAAACAGAAACTCGACTTGAACTTCTGATAGTGGGATGAATGACCAATCATCCCATGCTAGTCTAGTTCGACTCGAACTTCTGTCGGGTCAAACTTAGCAGCAGAATGCAATTAAGACAAGAGGTATATTTACCACAAATCTTGGAAATTCTGTTTACCTTGAAAAAACGGATAACAATTAAACTCTTATGTGATTTTAAAAATACGTGAATTAATTCAGTACAAACTATAAATCGCGTTACCACAAATCTTGGAAATTCCATCTTCAAAACAAACAAAAGTTGTTAGTTACTAACAGGGAAGCTCCACAACCGCATATCTAGCTCAAAAATGACCTCATACATAAATTCTAAGAAAATCCAACTTCAAACAAACAGAAACTCTTGTTCACAGAAAGCTTCACAAGAGCATACCTATCTTCAAAATACCCTCAATTACAAATACGAAAAGCGGATCTTTACTCAACTAGCGAGCCCGATTCACTGTTTAAATTTTTTAACCGGTATACACATATTATATTATACATCCGTAAAAAATAAAGAGCAGAGACATCTAACAAGCCACGAAACACCCCAAGGTTCCAAAAAAGAAGCAAAATTATCCAGATTCGAAAATAGAAAAAATGACACTGTATAGTCGTTCTCAAAATAATAGCTGGAAAAAAAAAATATATNAGTAGTTTTTGCACGCAAGCAAGTGAAAATTCTCCAAATAAAACAGCCAATAAAAATAATTATGAACAAAAACATTGAATACCCAACAAAGCTCACATCTTTTCTTCTTTTTTTATCAGAATTTTATTCAGAAGCTGTTTAATTGAAACCCCATCAAAATTTAAGCAAGAAAGTGAATTTGGTAATACTATAAACCCGAAAGTCCTTTTTTTTGGTTTGAACTTACATAATCCAAGAATCACAATCAACCCCAGAAACAGAAAATACCAAGAATACTGATGTGTTATAATCTAGTTCTATCAAATTAAGAATTAAATTTAGAATGAGAAGAAGAATTAACCCGAGTAGTCGTCCATCTAATCTCTTAAACTAAAAATAGCCGGTGAATGTATAATATATGAATTATTCATGCATAACATATGCATAACTGTGTATAATCGATATATAATTTATGTATACCGGCTAAAAAAAGTAAATAGTGAATCTGACCGGCTATTTGTGTAACAATCCCGGAGAATAAGAAAAACTTGTGTGTCTGAGAAAAAAATACTGCTCCATCCCTCCGTTTCAATTTATGTGGCATCGTGAAGTTTGATTGGACACAACATTTAAGAATAATGACCTTTGAAAACTTGTGGTCTCAAACAAGCCTTTAAGATTTTTGTTGCTATATAAAAAGGTTACATCTTTTCTTTTTTCAGAATTTCATAGAAAAGTTGTTTAGTTGAAACCCCATTAAAAATTAAGCAAGATAGTGTCTTTTGCACATAATTCAAGAATCAATCAACCCCACAAACAAAAAATACCAAGAACAATACTGAGTCATGAGCATGCTTATATATCTATATATGCTCTATTAACGTATGGATTACAATTTACTTGACAAATCCAAACTTGGGTTATATAATTCTGAGGAGAAATACTCTTGCAACATAAAACAAAGTCAAATTTAAAGGGAAGGAAAAGCTATAGAAAAATACCTTCATATGTTTAGCATTAAGCTCCTTTGAAACTCTGGCTTTTTCATTCATAGTGGAATTCCCAAAAGCTATAATTAAAACTCCCTTTAATAATAATAATAATAATAATAATAATAATAAGAAAATCTTATATTTCGGCTTTGTTTTGGATTGTTGCGTGTATTCCCGCGTGGTAGAGGCCGTCATTGGTAGTTATTCTTAGTTGGAATTTCCATGCATAAGCTAACTCTTTTTCTATTTTTCCTAGTGGAGTTGGGACCAGAAAAAGTGACAACACTATATAAAATTTATTTTAAAAATTTATAATTTAAGACTAAATTATTAAATGAAATTAATATTTCTCTAAAATAATGTCTTGCATACGCATAAAGACATATATCCTAATATAAGAAGAAGACTAATTTGTCTAATTTTAAAAGGAAGTATTCCCTCTCTTTCAATTTATTTGATTTTTTTCGTAGTATGAGGGTCAAATTGAGTAATTATTTTTTAATGAAAATTCAGATATAAGCTTTTTAAATTTTTAAAATAAAATTTACATATTTAGAAACTACATAAAAATTACTATAAGTCACAATAGTTAATAATTTAAAATATTTAAAAGTATTTAAAAAATATGATTAAAGAAAAATTATTTGACTCCTCAAATAATAATAGTTTTTTTAAAAAAAAAAATTGAGAAAGTAATTGTTAGGAAAATGGAGATAGAATATATGTCTAATGTTCAAAAGGAAAAATAACTATTAGGAAAATTGAGATAGAATAATTAAATCTAGAAAGACTTGTTACACTATAGAAATTTGGAGTTTGTGTTATTTAGACTTATTAGAAATGGTATAAGGAGGTTGTATATAAAATTTGAAGTCATTTAATGGAGATTTGGACTGATTTTGAATAGAATTACAACTGAAAATCGTGGAAGAAGTTCA